CTCCACTCAGTTGATGCTGGAAAAGGATGCAAGGCAGCCACACTGCAGAGCCATGCTTCCCAGCATCCCTCCCTCTCCCAGTTCCCGCCTCGGCGTCTAAGAGATCGGGCCTCCGGCTGTGTAGCCATGACAACCAAATGAGGTAAATGGTTGCAGGAGAATCCTCATCACGACCAGCACCCTCACAGTCCTCTCTTCGGTGGCGCATGAACATAGTATGCTCATGTATTCCGTGCATGCTAATCCCTATCTGATGTTGTAATTCCTATGTGGAATTGCTATAAATTATCCTACACTGTAGTGTACCATGATTCTGCTTTCATATATGCCAAGATGTCATCTCCTTTGGGTGAGGGTTGTTTTCATCATGATTTCCTTCTTAAGAGCTGTGGATCACGTTACAAAACGTTAAATATTCTGACAACAGGCATATAAAAAACACATCAGGAGAAGTAGCAAAAAAGGAGAAATTCTAACTGATCTGATAATAATTTTGTTACACTGCAATTTTCTCCAGGTACAAACCCGATACTTGCCAGGAAGAGGATGTTATTTGACTCTTTTTTTCTAATTTCTCTAACACCTTCTCCAAAAATAGTTGATCCATTTGCATACCTGCAGCGTGATAACACTGCAGTGTGAATTAACACTGTGCTGTGTTTACAGATGAGCCTTACTTATTTGCCACTGTAACCGGATAAAATCTGTCAACCCCAGGAAACAAATGGCAGAGCGTCACAAATGTGATTGAGCAATCATCACTTTTATCAGCGATATTTTTTTTTTTTGAAAAATGTAAGAGAATCTGAAATCCTGGTAATCATAAGTGAATATATCACAGTAAAGAAAAATCCTACAGATTTGAATTCTGTCTTTGTCATAAATACGTGTATATCATGGGTGTATGCAAGCATAGAATACAGACCAGGGGACAGAAAAAGGGATTTTATTAACATCATAAATTTCTTATTTATTTTCAATCAAACATCAATATACAGCTACACATACAGTCTGTTTGACAGTGTCTGTTTGACATATGAAATGCATTCAGCAACAGCAGCATGATCACACTCTCTTCCATCGCAGATTTGAAATTCGAGCCACTCTGACATTTACCTGACAAAACAGGACATGATTTTGGTATTTTAAGCAATATCAGGAAAAAACTGCGAAAGCAGCCACCACTGTCCATGCCTACCAGGCTGTGAAGTGTCAGACGTTTATATTGTGTTCCGACAGTGTAAATAAATGCTTCATTCTGAAAGGTGTTAATAGAAAAATAGACATGAATCTGAAATTTAAGGTAACTTACCAATGCATGCTCTAATTATAAGTAAAGCAAATTATAAAGGGAAAGGAAATGGTCATGCTAATGATCTACAACCTAACAGCTAAGCTAACATAATAATTTGTTAATATACAGTAACTACACAGTAGTTGCAAATAATACTGATATGTATAAAAACTCTCTCTATTCCTTTACATTAGTCTATGCATTTGATTACGATGAATGCTGTTTATTATCTGTTAAAAGGGGAAAGCACTCAATCCCATTAAATCACTCAAGGAATTAAAGACTGATATGTTGGAAACTTCTAATGTTTCATTGTGAGTTCCTAAACATCCCTTCGTCACAACCATCCCTGTGCTTATGTGAACCCAAAGCTGAGGTTGCTTTTTCTTCGTAAACATAATGAAGATGCTGCTTAGTATGTTGTTCATTAGTCGAACTGTCAGAAACAGAAATAACAGACTTCAGACAGTATTCAGAGGTTTTTCCCAGTAAGATTTCAATTTGACATCTAAATACTGATTGTTTCACTAAGCCCCACTCTGCTTTGTTATCGTGTATCCAGTTTAGGTTTTTCTCTTCTTTTCTTTTTTACTAAAGAACATTAGGTTACTATCTTCTTCAGCAGATGATAGCCGCACGACATATTTTAAAGTAGCTGCACTTGCGAACAGAGATTATCAGCCCCAGTATCACAGAAATGTAACATGAAAACAAAAATGATGAGTTTTTTTTCTTATTTATTTACCAAGTCTTACAGACAGTTTAATTTTTTTTAGTGCTTTGAAGAACAGCACATATGACCATGCAAAAAAGATTATGTTTGTAAAGATTTTACTGTTCAGCATGCCTCACTGTTTGAAACATTAAAGATAGGAGAAAAAGGATCAATTTCGTAAGTGGTTGTCCACCAGTTGAAATTCATTTCAGTACCAAGCTCATCCACGAAGCAAAATGTCCTCCGGCAGTACACTGAACGCTGCATTTTCCCCAATATGCTCATAGATGTGACAGAGGAAAGACACTGCTTCCAGAGAGTGCATAAAAAGCCCTACAAGTGTAAGAATGTACTAAACAGCATGCCTTTGCGGAAGAAAGTGGCTATATCAATGCAGACATTTAAAATGTCTGCATTTACCGTTTATTTTCTGTTTAGTTACCTGAAAAAGAAAGCTGGTTAGGGACCATAAAAATAAAATCTCTCTTAAATAATTTCCTGGGTTTTAGAAAAAAAAGCCATATATTCACATGTATAAACTTAAGCAGAACTATTGGCAGTTTCCTTCAAGAGGCCAGGTAATGTTGTACATTTTAGCCAGTCTTGTCAGTTTCACTTAGCACTGAAAGTTAATTGTAAATTCTGACAAAATTTGAGGAAAGGCTTTCAGTGGTTTTAACCTGTAATTCAGCCAAACAATGAATTGATGTACATACACCTTCACTTGTATTTTGGACTTTGATTAAAATAGCCCAATCTAGCTTTGAGATAATTGCTTTTACTCTTCTTTAAGAGTCTGCAAACTGCTTCATTGTGTGGAAAACAAAAATCAAAGTTTGACAAGGTTGCTACCATGCTGAACAGTTCAGGAGAGGGGTTTAGTGAAAGTCACCTTAGATATAATTTCCAGTTGGCATGTGTACTCAATTAGTACCACATTCTGGTAAATACACAACATCCATATAGTTCTAATATTACACCATGGATTTGTCATTTTCATCACAGCATATGATATCACACATAAATGAAAACATACTTTGACAATACAAGCTGGTATCACCATACAGCATGATGTGACATATCTTTGTATTTCTACTGATGCCTACACAAAGTGCGCGATCGGAACAGTAAATAAGGCCACAGATATCTTTTGTCTGTCATTTCTGTGAAATGTGCTTTAGGAAGGAGCACACGTATGGTTGTAACTTGTTCTAGAGGGTCAGAGAGTTTCCCCCTCTCCTCAATCTCATATAAATCGCTCAGAAATTATGACAAAATTTGCTCATGGCTCTTTTTATATCCACTGCTTGTTTGCATTTAAGCTTGACATTCTTTCTGCTACATCTCAGTTCTGCTGAAATATTCACGCCTGACAAACATGTGAGAAGCAAAACAAGACACTTCAACACAATACACGTTTCAACTCCTAATAACTGAGGATTGGAACATGTGGGATATACATAACAACCAAAATGCCCGGGGCTCTGCTTTATTGAATTTAAAGTGTTCTTTACTCGTACTTCTACTCTGAATGCAGAAGCATTTGAAGTGATTTCACTAGAAACCTTTTAAGGTTATTAAATGAACAGCTTTACCATGATCTTTCATATCAATAACCAAAGACTGATAAGTACTTTAAAGACAACAAGAGACGTTGATGTATTTTGGAAAAACAGTTTTACAGTAAATATCTATTACTTCTGAAGCATCCTCCCAGTTTAAAAAAAAAAGAAAAAAAAAGACGGCCATGTATGAACCCAGGTACAATAGCTGGTTCAGTCACAAACAGACGGGAAGAAAACGTAAATCTTTGGAGACCATAACAGTTAGAGTACAATGTGTTTATACAAAGTGCAATTTGGCTTCTACTCTTGAGCTATCCCTACCTTGCTAAGTTGCACATCATCAACAACACAGTCCATATATGCAAACTTTTCTTCTACCGAAACCTAATGAAGACTATTTCAACCCACAAGATGTAATTTGGGCCTTGCCTAGATTAGGTTAACCATTTAAAGTGCGTTTTTTGACACAATAAGTCTACATTAATTCTAATTTGATATCATACTTGCCATTATTGTTGATATAATACTTTAAATATTTCAAGAATGTCTCTCTACATGTTTCACAGTTATCATTCTAAGGATCACACAGTGTATCCTCTTGGTTTCTATATTTGAATATACACTGTTTTTTTTGTTATTTTCTTTACACAAATTTGAGATTGTGTAACCAGAGTAGTGCTTAAAGTGATAGTAGACCCACTGGGGTCTGTTCCTGCCTGCTAAACCCTTGTTATTCATCTTCCAGCCAATGCTTTATTCTGCATACAGAACCATCAGTGCCTATGAACAACCATTCAATGTTTGTATATTATCCAAAAGGGACACCATAAATGGCAGGATATGCCAGCATATCAAGTAACAGGCAGTTAATTACTGAGGTCAGTGGTCGAGATGACGTCCTGGTATCCCTTTTTGTGTGGGATCATTGGTACACAGACTCGTACTCAAACCAAGCTCCAATCAAAGTTATCAAAACGTCACACTAACTTTGATATCATATTCCAGAGCTAGATTTCATGCATGAAAGGAAGCTATTTTTTGGTTTTTGTAAGACTATAACATGACAGCACTGCATCAACACCTCTTTAAGTTAATTTGATTTAATTTAATTTCATTCTTTGTTCTTTATTACAGAGGCTTTACCCTTTGTATGTTCGTGGATGTTTATTGAGCAAAGACCTGTTATCCTTTGGCAGGGACCCCAGACTTTTTCAGAGAAAAATGTTACATCTGTGATAGCAATTTTCTTAATTTTACCCTTAATGGTTCCCATTCCTTGGGAATATCTTTTCATACCATTTTTCAGTTGTCTATGCGATAATTGCAACCATACCACTCAAAGGTTCACTGGCAGGATTCGGCCAGAGGTGCATTTCGTCTTCAGTAACACGCCACGAACAAAGAGAGCAAACAAAAGAATTCCTTTTCACTCCTCGCTCTCCTCTTCGTCCCCCTTGGTACCTTTACTCCAGCGCTGGAAGCAATGAACAGTAGAAGCCAGGAAGAAGCTGGTCATGATGGCCACGACAGACACGGAGATGCCGGAGAAAATAATGATGAGCAGGTCTGTTAGAGTCAGGGTGGCCTGGCATTCACGAAAACTGTCCTTCGAGAGCTGGGTCAGGGAAACCCTTCTGCCATCCATAGGGAGCGAGCACTCCATGCCTTCCACTCCTGAATAGAAACAGGAACTAAGATTACTGGATGACATCAACTTCGTGCATTTCTGGGCAACATTGTTTATATATATATCAGTCTCTCAGAAACACACACACACACTCATGGAAACAAGCAGCAATGTTCTAATTCCTTTGATACTCAAAAGGTTTTGATGAAAGGTCAGGCATATTTGCCTGATACTCAGAAAACTCAAACGGACCACAAATGCACAGAGGATTAAAGAGTACGAAAGGGTGACGTGCAGTTGTAGTTGTCTTGTTTATCAGAGTGCTTTAAATCTAATAGTTATAAAATATATCTATCCTTCAGGGAAGTGCACCTTCGTCACAAGACTGAAACCTGATTTAATAACCGTCCTCACTTCTGTGTTAAAGTTTCACTGTGTTTACTGTACAACCACCCACAGCATGGCCGTGGGTACACACTCTTAGAGTAGATGAACAACTCTGCATGGATAGCTCTGTAGTTCTGCTCTGTAAAATAAGTTTAATTTTCATTGTACATTTGAAAAATCGCCTGTCTCTAACATGGAGACAAATTATCGTGAAATGTTTGTTGATCATATTGAAATAGAATGAAACTCAAATGTTCTTAATCTGTCGAGCTGGTTTAACTTTGCCCAAAATCATTAAACACGGCATGATTGACGTTATATCTCAAGGGACACCTTGACAAAACTAATATCCACAGGAAGGTGTGACAAAGCGAGTGCTGCTCTTCGCATCGTCATAGTTCATTGTTTGGACATTATGTAATCAGAGGTTATTGGATTTCAAGGGTACAAGTCCTCAGCTGAGTCCTCTTTTCCATTGCATGCTAAATGAGATCAGTGAGCGGATCATTAAGGTCAGTTTAAGTCATCAACACTACCACTGAAAAGAAAAAGGGTTTAGTTTCACATGCATCACAGACTGCATGTGATTTCTCTCATTATTTTTTCTGACCTTTGAGTTTGATTTGAAGCAGGTGCTAAACAGACATGGGAATCAGATCGTAATTGTCACACTACAGCCCAGCTAGCACGATGCTCTGCAGTGAGTAGCCTTCCTTTGGTGGTGCATTGCACTGTATCAACACGAGACATATGTAGGTAGAGATGAAACCCAACAGTGTGGGTGGCTAGTTTCCACTGGTGCTGCACATGAAAATGGATACGCTTGGCAGTAGATGTGTCTTTGCTCACTGGTCATCACTATTTTTAATTGTGCTTTGATATGATTAAAGTGCAATAGCCTCTCTTAAGATTGTCTGCAATCAAATGTACTGAGCAATAATATAATAATAATACACAATAATGTTCCAACTGTTTGGTGCTTGACTATGTGTGTTTAGATTTTAAACACAGGTAGCTAAAAACAGATAGAACTGAAAAACTCACAAGTAAAATAAATTAGAATTAGATTTAATAACCAACCATGGAAAAACAAATTGTGGAGATTTGTGATGGCATGGAAATGACTTTCGTGGTTCTTTCATTGACTTGCTACAGTATTAATTAGGTTTGTAACTGAGCTCTTTAAGAGCTTGATAAAACTTGGTGTCACTAATCCCCTAATACAAAATAGATTCTCACATCTCGTCTAACATTCAGACAGCAGAGAACAGAAGGTATAACATACCTAGAATTACAGCATGGAAAAATAAGCCCAGTGAGGCTGCAAAAAAAAAGAAATGAAACTATTGTAGGCCACTACTGAGTATTTAAAAAAATAAAAGCCAAATGGAAGATACTGATTTTGTGTCATTAGCATTACCCATTAAAGCTTTAAATAAAAGTGAAAATGCTTTAGATCAGATGGTCGGTCCTGGCTGTGTTATGTCTAAGTAAAAAAAAAATTCATATTCACAATGTAGTTTCTGCATTTACATCACTGCAGAGATGGAGCTGATTGTGTATTTTCAGTTCTGTCTGATTGCATTCTACCCATTTGTGACTAAGGTGAATATTTCCCTTTTAAAACCCAAGTCCCACCAGAGATTAAGAACATGATCAATCAAATTTATGTTCATAAACTGTGCTTCAGGTATTGATATTCGGTCTATTTATGAGAGCCTTTGTGTTTTTTCACAGCTCTCTATAACCAAGCTTTGTCGTCTCGTCCATCGCTTCAAACATACATACTGACTTAGCTTTTAAATTTGCAACAAAGCGGAAGGATTTACTCGGATATATAGAGGCTTCCCACTCAGCCTTAAATGCTGTAGCTCAGAACTTTAGTTACACAATTAGGGAAACAAAGACTGTCACCGCCTGATCTATGAGGGCATTACTGAACAAGTGTAGTACTTAGCAAAAAAGAGACCTCCTGGGGAAAATTATGTTTACTAAAGTACAGGCCATCCGTACGCAGGATTTACAGACTTTTACTTAGTGTTATCTCAGATCAGTGTTCCTTGAAATTGAAAAACAGAGTCCTGACAGAAAGGTTAATTTGTGACTTTGAGCTGCTTAACTACCTATCTTCCCCATGCCAGCTTTAAGCTAATATATTCAATAAAATATTCCACGCTTTGTCTATCTTCTGCTGAACAATAATAATAAAAAAAACAACGTATCATCCAATCTATGAAAGAAAGTATTCGGGTTCAGCTGAGTGTCCTCTCTCACTAACCCAACTTCAAAATGTGTGAGTAGAAAAGTTGGATTAATTTTCATTGATCTTGTGTAAGTACAATGATAATGATTCTTCTCACTTAAATAGCATCAATATATATATATATATATATATATATATATATATGTATATATATATATTCCTATCATTGCTTGTGGAGAAAGAGCCAGCACTTTCCCTGACACAATATGTTGTTTATAGGATCAGATAACTTGATAATTGTCATTATGTTTTATACAGGTCACTTTGGGGCCATGCTCTCTGTCAAACATTTTGATGACTACAACTGTTGACAAAAATTATGGAATTCCAACACTAGCTAGACATTCAACTTTGTGTACCTGGAAGAAACATTCTGCAATCCACAACAATCTCAGGAAACCACAGTATAACTGCAGAAAGAGCAACAATGGAAGGATATTCAGTTTTCTTGGTGGGGTATCAATGTTGAAAATATATTATTAGATTTAACAACAAGGAACGTAAAAGGCTGTTCGAGATGAAGTTCTCTAGGAAAGTTTTGCTACAACTATCCATGAAAGATGCTGTAGAGCCTCAAGATGGTGAAAGGATCTTTTAAAAAACACAAGAAGAAAAGTAGACATAATCTCGTTAGGATTTTATTGACATGCTTTTTCTTTTAAAGAAATCTGTTATTTCAACACATCAAAGTTTTTATTTAAAACATTTACTCAGGCTGAAGCTTGTAATTGTTGGCATTTGATTTTGGTTTGTTTTCATTTTCTTCCATAAATCTTTCTATCACACTCTCAAGCTCTTCTTGAATGGTGCAAGAAGGGATTTATAATTGATATTAATGTTCTGTTTTATATTCATATTTTGCCTCATTTCATATCTACCACTAGAGCTGTATCTGGAAAAAAAGGATGTAATTTTCTTGACACGGGATCATAACAAAACAATATGTTTGTTAAAGAGAATGTGTGACTAATTAGGTGCATTTGTGCTCTAATGGCAGCACAGTGTCACTGATAAGTCTGCCATCAAAGCCCCTCAGAGAATCTGCAGTATTATGCAGGGTTTGACAGGGTTTAAAGTGAGGATTGGGATTACACTTTGTTCTTCTCTGCATTGAATATGTGACAGTCTGGCCATTTATGTTTGATGTTGTTTATCGGATGTCATCAAAACCTTTTGTAAATCATAATAATACCCTCGGTTTGATTCAGGGAGGAACAATAGGCAATACAAAACAAACTCACTTCCAACATGCAATACATCAAATCCTCTCGTGAAATGCTGCGTCGCTAACTGGTTTCCACAAGTCGATATGAAAATATAACCTGGATTTATTACATCTGATCAATGTGCTGGCTGTTTTTCTGAAATTAATTCAATAGATGACTGATCTTGAAAATACATCATTTCAGTCTACTCCAACAAAAGACAACAAATACCAGACTCAGTTATTTTTCAAATTGCTTGTTAGAATAATGAGTTATCTTTACAATTTTTTCTTTGTTTTAATATCAGGGGCAGAAAAAACAGGATATCAAATAATTTCTGTTTAATTTTATTTGTAATCCTGATACCAGGTTTATGTCAATCCCATTCAATATACCAAGGGAAGCTTTATGAATATAAAATCCCCCTCGAAGCCCAAGTACTGCTCATATATTGTTTAAATAGTTTTTACATATTGATGTCAAACGTGACATGTGAAAAAAGGAAAAAGAAATGAAAAGACAAAAATAGAGGAATGAAACAGAAATACAGAAAAACTTACAGAACTTACAGCAAAACAATACAAAACTTAGTAAAAATCTAGATTAAAAGCAGTAAATTGTTACAATATCTTTTTTGAATCATATACAGTCAAGTGTTTTAGGCTAATCTTTAACTCTGAATATATATCATCGTGGCTTTGGAGTAAAGTTAATATTTCAACTAAAAGTTAGAATGATAGAAAAATTACATATAGATTATATAGGGACCAAGTTGTTACTGCTTGAAGTCAAATCAAACCTTCATGCAAATGTTTAACTAGAACATGAATTAAAGGAATAAGGCAGCAACAGGGAGAACGAAAGGTGCTGGTATCAGAAGAAAGTTAAAAGATACTGTGCATCTAATTTCTAAAACTAACCAGTTCATTACATAGCATGGAACCCATTTTCAATCAGCTTAACTGTTTTTGTCTTTAGCATAATAGGTGAACCATAAACAGGCTCATTCATAAGAAACTGATATGCTTCCCTCCAGTAACCTGCCTGAAAGAAAGCATGTTGCCACCTATTGTAGAGAAGATAGACTTGCTTCGGTCAATAAATCGATCCCCTCCCTTGTTGATATCCTGCTACGAAGACAGATGTCCAATTTAACTCCCCAGTGGCTCAATCGTGCATGT